CCTCTGACCCTATCCCTCCTGACCTCCTCCCTCTGACCCTATCCCTCTTATCCTAGCAAAGGAGGGAACTGGTCTGGCCCAACCAGATCCTAATCCAGGCCATCCTACCAGCCCCACCCCACACAGCAGGCCAGTGCTAAGTGGAACCACATGGCTTGGGCAGGGGAGGGCGGGGGCTTCGTCTGGGCCCAAAGCCCCTGCCTGCTCTCCCCTCCCCCCAGCAGACTGTCCCACTGACCCCCTGACCCAGCCTCTTGGCAGGAGTCAGATTCTGTCAAATCTGTCCATGACCTCACCCTGGGGGCGGTTCTACTGACCTCACCATTGGGAGTGAGGGTGGGGGGCCAGACTTGGGGGAGACGGGGGCTTGGATGAGGGACCCCCATCCCAGCTCCTCCTGGGTCAGACCCTTCATTCTCCAGATTTACAGACCCTTATTCCAGCCTCCGCTCACTCTTGCCTCCAACCTCCTGTTCTGTCTTTCTCCTCTCCCCCTCCCTGCCCTCTCTCTGTCCCACTTTCTGTGTTGGTCTTTCCAGGTCTTTCTCTGCATCCAACTCTGAATCAGTCTGTCTCTCTCACTCTCTTGTTTCCTAGCTCTTTCTGCGTGTCTCCTGGTACTTCAATGGTTCTCCTTCCTCTCTGTCTCTCTGTCCCTCTGTCCCTCCTCTCTCTCCCTCTCCCTCTCTCTAGATAGATAGATAGATAGATAGATAGATAGATAGATAGATAGACATATACATATATATACATATATACGCATATCTGGCGGGGGTTACTCTCCTCATCCCCCTCTCTCTCCATCCACACACACACACACACACACACACACACACACACACACACCCCTGTTCTGCTGCTGCCACCACCAGCCCCGTCTCTAATTGCCTGTTCTCTGGCTAGGCTGTCATTAAGAGGTATTTGGGTTACAGTCCCCTGAGACTAAGATCTGGGCTCCCAGGCTCTGTCAACCACAAGGGTCACTCCCCCATGGAATGATCATCCCAGCTGCCCCCTCTCCAGGCTGGAGCCCCAGGGAGGGCTGAGAGTCACGACCCCGTACAGTGTGGCTCTCCCAGGCTTTCCCCTCACCCAGACCCCTGTCTCGATGCAGCAGGAATGGGTGTCCCCTCAACCAGCTGCTCACTCACATTTAAAAAGTCCTTCTCAGCACCTAACCCAAATGTCTCTTGCTTCAATCTTGCATATCTTCTGTAGTGACCTTTCAGAAACTGACTGCCCTTTCTTTTCATGGCTGGCTTTGTGACAAGGGGACACACAAGAGGCATTGAGTCCTGCCTGCAGGGTCAGAGGGTGGGGGTCTGTCAGGGACCCAGCCTGACCTTCCCCCACTCTCTCTCCTGTGCTGGTCAGGGCCCCAGGAAGATGTTGGATGGGGTCTAGGATATGAAGGGAGGCAGGCAGGGCCTAACTAGGCTGGGGCATGGTTGGGATCTCCTCAGATGTTCAGGAGAGCACAGGTGTGGGTGTGGGTGCTACTGTGTACATGAGATTGTGTAAGCATGTGCATGACTCTGTATGGACCAGGGAATGGCTGAGCACGTTGTCAGCATAGGCCAAGGATCTGGCCTACAATGGAGAGCCGAGGTGCAGCTATTTGATGTGTGGGTGGGTATCTCCTGGCACTGAGTTCACAGTCCGGCTGGTCACGCAGGTGAGTCCGTGATTATAATAGGCGACACTTGAGATGGGGAACTGTGGTCACATGGGAGAGTACGGACAAGTCGGCGAGCAGGTGACTGGTTGTGAATGCTGATTGTATTGTGTGGATACCAGTGCACACATGTGCAAGAGTTGGAACGTGTAGGAGGGTGACAAAGGCTGTGACCCTGTGGCGGGTGGCTGCTGGGGTTGCCTGGGGCGTGGGCCCCGGTGTTTCACTTTGGGGTGTCCCAGAGGGCTTATATTTTGAATGGATGCCTATGATGGCACGAATGTATGGATGTGTCAGCATGGGAATGGGACAGAGGCCAATTTAGGATAATCCACGTGAACAGGCACCTCCCTGAACTCCAGAGAAAGTGAGAAAGTGCAGGATGGGGTGTGTGTGTGTGTGTGTGTGTGTGTGCGTGTGTGTGTTGGGGGACTGAGCTCACCCTAGGGAGCGATTTCCAGGAGGCTCTAGCCCAGCCTCTCTCAGACCAGGGATGCCACTTGAGGGACCACAATCTTTCCAAACCCCTGGGCGCCCCCAACCGCGAACCCTGTGGGGCGGAGCTCGGCGTCCAGCCAAAAGCGCGCAGCTGGGCGTGCGTCAGCGCTGACTCACCCGTCCGCCGGCCCCCGGGACCCTTGGGGCCCCTGAGAAATTCCTCGGGAAAAACACCCGCAGCTCGCTCGGCTGGGGGGAGCAACTTCCACTTCCGCCCCCGCCCGCGCTCCGCCCCGCCCCGCCCCGCGCCCCGCCCCGCCTCGCCCCTCACCGCGGCCCTCCCGAGGCCCTGTCCATGGTGCTGATCGCGGCTCTGGGGAGAGCGGGGTGGGGGGAGGGGGGAGAAGTGGGGACTGAGGAGGTGGGCGCGCGCCAATTGGAGGCAGAGGAGGGAGAGGAAGAATAGGATGCAGCCATTAGGGGAGATGGAAAGGAAACTCTGAGTCCCCGATTAGCCCCCTCCCTTACTCGGTCCACTCACCTTCACCCCCAGAATCACCCACTCACGTCCTCATGGGCGATTGTTTACGCCCCAGAATCACAACCGACCCTCATCGGGTCACCCAAAGACAAACAATCATACGCGTAACACTCACACGATTATTCTCTTAGGTCAGCCCCATACAGACACACCCACAACTCACAGTCACCATACCCTTGGCCAGGAATCACCCATCACCCACATTCATACAATAGTCGTCAACTCCCACACCCACTTTCCCACACACGATTTCACTTCAAATGGCCTCACACACACATTGCCGCACACACAACTCTACGTCGCATTCATTCCAACGCATCCACCAGTAAAACACGGCCACACGTTTCCCCCCTCCCGCCAGCTGTCACACCCACAAATCGCCCAGAGTCTGACACGCGAGCCCGAACACAACACCCTATCCACGCGCAACGCGCACGCCCCCCCTGCACGCCCCCCCCCCATTCCTGACTCCACCCCATCTTTAGGACCTCGTTAGATCCTGCACCGGGGTCCTTTTCCTATCTCCTCCCTCCGGACTCACCGGCCTGCGTCCGGAGCAGAAGCTGCAGCGAGGCCAGGAGCAGGCAGAGGCCGGCCCGCGGCTGGCTCAGGCCTCGGCGACTCCCCATCCCGGCGGGCCCCACACGCAAGGCGGGGACCGGCCGGGGCGTCTACGGGGCGCGGCGTCTCCTCGGGCTCCGTGCGCTCACTTGCCGCGGCCGGCTCCACTCGGGATCGGCAGGAGACTGCGGGAGACCCCGCCCTGGCCTCGCCCTGCGCTCCAGAGCCCGGCCGGGCGGGGCTCGCTGGAGGGAGGGAGGGGGGGTGGCTGACAGCTGGTGGGGGAGTTGGGAAAGTTTGTGCTGAGTGCTGATTGGCCGGCCAAGGCCGGAGCCCTGGGCAAGGAGCTGGGTCCTCTATGCCCCACCCCACAGTGCAGGAAAAGGGTCACTCCCACCCAGCCTTAGAATTCGGGGTCCCAGACTTACCCCAAACTCCTTCCTCCTAACAGGCTCCCTCAAGGGAAGTCTGAGCCTCATTCAAACCTTCAGCCTCCATCCAAGCCCTGGAATTAAGGGGTATAGCTTTGTACCAAATCTATTCTGCCTCACCCAGGCCCCCAAATGGGGTTCCAGCCTGATGCCCAATTCTCACTCATTTCCTTTACCCCAGTGCTCAGTCACACTATGAAAGGTACCAGTTTCATCCCAAGGCCTTCCCTTCAGGTGTCTAAGTAGACAATCCTGATCCCACCTCCAACCTCACCCCAGATTACGAAGCGTGGTTCCCAGCTTTACCCCAAACTCTCCTTTCCCCACCTAAATTCCAGAATTGGATGTCCTGGCCTCACCCCCAAACCCTCGACATGCGTTCCAAAACATAGCTCTCTACTTCCCCCCAAACTCTTAACCTTCAAACAAAGGGTCCCATCTCCATCTCTAGCCATCCTCTCCCCTCTCCCTGACTCAGGTCCCCAAATGGATGCCCTAGCCCCAATTCCAAATCTTCACATATGCCCCTATTAAATGGGGGCGTCTTGCCCTATCTGAAAACAGGGCACTGCCGCAGGGGGAGGTGGCGGGGAGGTGGATCCCTGCCACGTCTGGGGTGAGGCAGAGCTGTCTCTCATCCTACTGGGACCCCACACTGTGAAGTTCCCTCCCCCCCCCCCAGGGGGTCACATGGAGCTGTCTGTGCAATTGAACAAGCACAGACTTGCAGGATCTCAGGGTGCTTCTGCAAGGAGGAACCCAAGGGGCGTATCCTGGGCCCTAAACTGCCCCACCATGGAGAAGAGGGAGAAGCCGGCAGTGTCTCCCTCCCAGGCTCCGGCTCCACGGACAAAGAGTCTCTGTGTCCCAGGAGAGGAGGGGTGGGGCCCCATCTGGCCTGAGGGCGAAATGGGGGCTGTGGGGTGGGGAGAGAGAGGGAATCTCCCCAAGCTGCTCCTCCTCCCTCCTCAGGGACCTTGAGGCTAAGACTTCTCCTGCTAAAAGATTCTCATAAAGATACTGCCCTGCCCTGCCCTGCCCTGCCCTGCCTTGCTGGGAAGTTCTTCCTAGTCTAACCCCATCTTCGGACATATCTATGCCCATTCCCCTTTTTGAAAGGACCCTTCTGGGACCACACTCGCTGTCTTTTTCTCTCATTCTCTCCCTCCAATCAGAGATTCTTTGCCCAGAATAGAGACAGGAAGGGAATACCCCTGCTAGTTCCCCCAGCCCTAAATAATTTGAAATCATAATAAAAAGACCCTAGTTATGAGTGTAGCAGCGAGGAGAAGAAATTTTTCACAGATAAAGGAAAGAGGCTATTTTGAGGTTAAAGGTTTCCTCCCAGCTGCCTGTCCAGGGTCCGTTCGGAATTGGCATCATCTGGGACCCCTTCCCCTTGCGGGGAATCCGTTGGAGGGTGTCTAGGAGGGGGCAGAGGAGCCAAGGGATGGGTGGCAGGAGTCAGGTGCTGGCCAGCAGAGGTCACCCATCCAGGGAGGGATCAACATGGCCGACGCACCCCGGACTGTACTGATCTCAGGCTGCTCGTCGGGAATTGGCCTGGAGCTCGCAGTACAGCTGGCTCATGACCACAGGCAGCGCTACCAAGGTTAGAGGCCCAGGGTGGGGCCGGGAAGGGCAGGGGTGGGCACGGCTTCTGAGGACCTTCAGCCGTCCTGGCACTATTTCCACTAGCCCATCCCTTCAGCTGTATTTGTGGGCTTGAGGAGGACCCAGGACCCATGGAGGCCCCCTTCCCACCTCTGCTCAGGAATCACCCCTTCATCCAACCAATATTTCTTGTGCACCTACTGGGCATCAGGCACTATTCAAGGGGCTGGAAACACAGCTCTGAACAAAATAGACAAAAATCTCTGCCCCGAGCAGTGGTGTGAGGGAGGAGAGGGAGAACAGACAATAAACAGATTTTAAAATTGTATAATATGTCTAGTGCCAATAAGTGCTAAGAAGCAAACTAAAACAAGGGTAGAGTGTGGTAGGAAGTGGGAGGTTGGTGATATTTTTTAAAGGGCTGGTGGGGAGGGCTTCCCGGAGGCTCCACTTGGCATTCCCTAGGACTCCCCTCCCCCACCCCTCCCCTGATTACCGCTCCGAAATAAGCCTCTTAAGTGACCCTGACCTTGGGGGCTTAAGGGGGTGGGGGGGCTCTAAATCTAGGGACCTGGCCTCCTGCAACTCTGGAGTAAAGTGCGCCAGTCTGCACACACACACACACACACACACACACACACCCCGGGGAACCCCTGACCCAGAGCACGCTGGAGCTGAAGTGGGCACAGGGCCACTACGTAAGAGGAGGTTGCAGGGGGCAAGGGCATTGCCCCAGTTGGCGGGGCTGATTCTCCCAGCCCTCTGCCTTCTGTCTTAAACACACACACAGCTTTGGGTGTGACAGTCTGAGGGCCAGGGTGCAAGGAAGCCATAGCACTGCACGTGTCTCTGTGCACATGCAGTGAGTGTGTAAAACTGCTGAAGGATGTTTATTCAATCACTTCCCGGCCTTTTGGCGAAGATCAGGTGTGAAGGACGTTTACCGAGTGCTTACAATGTGCCAGGTTCTCATCATAGTGTCGCGCATCACGTGTATCAGTTAATCCCCGTATCGCCTCTATGAGGTGGCCATTACCATTAGCTCCATCTTAGAAATGAGGAAACTGAGGCACATTGGGCCAAAGATCCTTGCCCAAGGTCGCCCAGCTGGAAAGTGGCAGAGCCCGGATTTGAACCCAGGCAACCCAGTCCCTGTGGCCACACTTGTCACTGTATGTAGATGCATGTGATCCCATTCATCTGTGCAACACCCATGAATCACATGGGTCCACGGATCATGTGAAAGTGCCCACCAGGGCTGTGCATGTGTGATTGTGGGTACATGCACGAGGGGTACAATCAGGTACGCAGGTATTTGAGCTCAGCACGCGAACAAACCCAGGTACAAGTCTCAGTTCTAACACTTACTAGGGGCGGGACAGACAAGGAACTTCACTTTGCTGAGCCTCAGTGTGTCAGCCACTTCACCTACTTGTCCTGGCTTCTATTGCTAAGCAGCAAATCATCCCAAAACTTATGGCGTAATAGAACAACTGTAATCATCTGTGTCTCATGCTTTACAAAGGCCATAAATTTGGAAGGGCTCGGCCAGACAATTCTGGCTCAGGGTCAAAGGCTACAACTGGAACAGTGCGGGGTAGTCATGGGCCTGGGCAGGCATGAACCTCAGGGCTTCTCCATGTGGTCCCTCTATCTGGCTAGCTTGGGCTTCCTCCCAGCAAGGTAGTCTCGGGAATAGCTGGGCCGCTACAAGGTGGCTGAAGATGTTGAGAGTGAACGTTACAGCAAACAAGGCAGACACTGCAGCATCTTTTCTGGCTGAATCCCAGAAGCCACGCAATGTTACCTTCACCCAATTCTATTGACTCCCGGCTAGTCACAAGATTCAAGGAGAGGGACATGAGACTTCATGACTTGAGGGGGAGCAGCAAAGTTCTCAAAGAGCGTATGCGATGAAAGATATTGTGGCCATCTTTGGAAAATTAGTCGGTGGCCTAATCATAGGGAGGATTAGAGTCCTAATCATTGGAAGGATTAGAGGTAGGGTTTATAAAAGTGTTCAGCACAGTGTTTGGCACATGGCAGGTATTCAACAAGCTGAAATGTCTGTAGATGATGGAAGCTTGGCTATTTGCATGTACACACACACACACACACACACACACACTGACCCTAAGTATGTATTTCTTTCCTCAAGGCAATATGTTCTGTGTTTATTTTATTGGCTTCCTTCCTGGGCTATACATTCTGTGAAGCCAGGGACTTTGCCTATCTCATTTCATGCAATAGTCTCAGCACCTAGAATAGGGCACAGTGGATACTAAGTAGGTGCTCAGTAAAGGATGGATGAATGAATGGATGAAAGTACATGTAAGTGAATGTACACAAATATGCATTTGTGGCCATGTAGTAATGTTAGTAGGTAAACCTGTGGGTCCCCATCCCTCTGTGACTGTTCATGCAAGATTATGGAAATACATGCAAATGAATGCAGAGGGAAAAGGAGCCCAGTGCCTGACCCAACACCGGTCTCTGTTCCCAGTGGTGGCCACCATGAGGGACCTGAGAAAGAAGGGGGCACTGGAAGCAGCTGCTGGAGAGGCTCTGGGGCAGACCCTCACCGTGGCCCAGCTGGACGTGTGCAGTGACGAGTCAGTGGCCCAGTGTCTCAGCTGCATCCAGGGAGGGGAAGTGGACGTGCTGGGTGAGACCAAACAGCCCCCGGGGGTCACTCCCCTCCCTGCCCTAACCACAGGTCCTCGTCCCAGCGAATCCTCTCCACTGTCTGAGCACCAGCTTTCTTGCTTCACCAGAAACCTGTAGCCCTGGACAGAAGGGGTAGACAAGCCGGCTAAAAGCCCAGGGTACCTGTTTATTAAGGATACAAGAATAAACTTGAGTCCTGGGTGTAGGATGGATTTTATTGAATAGAACTTCCCACATTTGGAGAAAACCATATGCAGTTGGAAAAATTACTCTGATGAGTCATTTTGGGGAAAGCGCTTCTGTTGAAGAAGCGACACAAGTTCCCTCAGAGGCTTTTGAAGGAGGGCAGGTGTGGCTGTTTTGATGCAATGTGGGGTCAGAGCTGAACGGCTCATGTATTAAAAGGGGAGGCTGTTCCCAGCAGCCCTTCCCCCCCACCCGGGGTTCAGGGTCCCTATAACAAATGTTAAACTATATGTAAAAATCACCAGGGCTCCACACTCTTCCACTCGAGATACTCTGGCCTGGCCCTGAATTTGGAGCGGGGGATGGGATGATCCAGGGAGTGTCCCTACAGGAGTGGCACTAGAAAGGTTTGGGGGACCTCAATGTAACCTCACCCCCCCCTTAGTGAATAATGCTGGAGTGGGCCTGGTGGGGCCCTTGGAGGGGCTCAGCCTCGCTGCCATGCAGAACGTCTTCGATACCAACTTTTTCGGGGCTGTGCGTCTCGTCAGAGCTGTGCTTCCTGGCATGAAGAAAAGGAGAAAGGGCCACATTGTGGTGGTCAGCAGTGTGATGGGGCTGCAGGGTAAGCCCTGGGGACCAAGCCCTGCGAATCCCCCCAGTGTCTGACCCTCCCCAGGCCGGAAGGATGGCAAATAGGTTTTAGCTCATACTCCAAATGAGCCCGTGTGGGGAAGGATTCCAAAGCTCTGAAGGAAGAATTTCGGGAAGAGTCTATGTCCACCATACTGTAAGAGGAGGCAGTGGTCTTACAAATGCTGCCAATGGCCATCCACATCCAGTATCAGACCTACTTCCCAACACCTCTACAAGTCTCTCCCATCTCCCCAAACCCGAAAGAACCGTCAGAACTCCTCTGTGACGTTTTCTTGCCAAACACCTCCAACCAATCCCTGGCGACGTCTAGCTCTGGGGCTCTGAGGTTCTGCAGAAACGGAGAGCAGTGATTGCTCAGTGATGTCTGCTATTGGCCTACTATGGAGAACACCTGTTTGCCATCCAGGCTCCTGGGTCTTTTCTCCTTGAGTCCCTCTAGACTCCCTTCCTCCCCAAGGAAACTCCCTGGGATCCGCCCCCCTCCTCAGCAGGCCCCTTAAAGAATCCCCCTTACTTGTTAAGAATCTGATTCTACTACTCAGCCCCATCTCTTTGGTCCCTCTTCCAGCTGCACCTCCTAACCTCAGGGGCTACATTCCCTCTTAATAAAAACAGATAAGAGCCCCAGTGAATATCGGACTTGACTTCAGGGGCCCTGGAAATCCTATGCTCAAGTGGCCCAGAGGTTTAGAGGATGGAGGGAAGAAGGGTTTTCCAGGGCTAAGGACAGGTGGAGCACAGGGCAACCCAGGACAACCTAATCCTGAGCCCATATGCTCCCATCACACATACATACACTCACCATGTTGGCCCTCGATAGCCCCTCATCCTGATCTTCAAACCCTCTTTGCTCTGTCTCCTGAAGACCCCATGTCCCTCCGGACCCACAAGCCCATCACCCAGACCCGAAAGGGCTCAACCTCCTCCAATCCTCTCGGGTGGAAAGGGTTCAACCTCCTCCAATCCTCTCAGGTGTCGTGTTCAATGAAGTCTATGCAGCCTCCAAGTTCGCCCTGGAGGGATTCTTTGAGAGCCTGGCTGTCCAGCTGCTGCAGTTCAACATCTTGTGAGGCTGGTGTTTGGGTAGTGACGGGGGAACGGGAGACAGTGGTGGGGAAAGACAAGGGAGGCAGCAGCGAGGAGGAGTGGGGTGGGAAGGCAGTGATGGTGGGGAAATGGAATCGGGAACGAGGAAAATGGAGGTATGGGAAGAGGATGGGCGGTACCAGGGGAAGGGCAGTGGACGGGCTGGGGGACCAGGAAGGACGGGGAGGGCGCGGAGGAGAGGGACATTAATGGGGCCGCGAGGGGGTCGGGGTACCAGGCCCTGGTGCCCCTCCCTGTATCCCCAGCATCACCCTGGTGGAACCCGGTCCAGTGGTCACTGACTTTGAGGGGAAGCTCCTGGAGCAGGTTTCCACGGCCGACTTCCCAGACACCGACCCTGACACCTTGCACTACTTCCGAGATTTCTACCTCCCAGCCTCCAGGGAGCTCTTTCGCTCCGTAGGGCAGAGCCCACAGGATGTGGCCCGGGTGAGTGGGGGGAGGGGGAGCGCAGAGGCCCAAAGACGCGGCTCGGGGAGCGGGGAGGGGGGGGGATGGGAGTGTGCCCCACCCTGCAAACCCCGCCTCCCTGAATCCAAGAACTCAGGGCTCCACCCCATAGGTCATCGTCAAGGTCATCGGTTCACCCAGACCCCCCCTGCGCCGACAGACCAACGCCCGCTACACCCCGCTCGCTGCGCTCAAGGCTGTGGACCCCTCCGGCAGCCTTTACGTGCGCACCTCCCACCGCCTGCTCTTCCGCTGGACGCGCTTCCTCAACCTTGGCCTCCGATGTCTGGCCTGCGGCTGCCTCCGCATCCGAATATGGCCCCGGTGAGCAGAGCTTCACCCGACCCTCCCCACCTCTGCACAGCCAGGCGTCTTCAGTTCATACCGATCTCAGAGGCCTCTACGGACTCTTCATTCATTCATGCACTCAGCAACCTGCCTGACCCACTCTGTGCCTGGGCCTTGGTGGGGCCCCAGAAATCCCTCAGCCTCCAGGCACACACACCGCGCCCCCCCCCCCACCATGGTCAGGGCTGGGACAGAAAGAGGGAGCCTTGGACCCTAGGTCTGAGGAGCCCAGAGTAGGGAGGCTGGAGCTGTGTCTGGGAAGGCAAGGTAGGCTTCCTGGAGGAGGGGACATTGTTGCTGGACCTTGAAAGATGAAATAGACTGCCTCATTCAACCTCTGGACTTCATTATCTTGGGCCTGGAAATACAAGGATGATCTAAAATGCCCTCTACATAGAACCGAGTTGACTAAGGGGTCTTCAAGACTTTTCCGGTCACACAGCCCATCAGCAAAATGTTTCATGCACTCACCAGCGGCACATGTATATTTTTTTCATCAGATATATATTTGTTACCACTAGCAATCCCTATATTAAATATTTAATAAAGCTCAACTCCCTATGTCTAAATAAAAAATTTAAAAAGCAATAAGGTTCACTTCACACACATTAGAACGACTGCTATAAATAAACCGCACAAATAAACAACACTCGAGAAAACAACAAGTGTCGGTGACAATATGAAGAAATTGGAACCCTTGTGCACTGTCGGTGAGAATGTAAAATGGTACCGTCACTATGGACAATAGCGCGATAGTTCCTCAAAAAACGACACAGAATTATCACGTGACTCAGCAGTTCCATTTCTGGGTGTGACCCCAAAGAACTGAAAGCAGGGTCTCAAGGAGATATTGGCACACCCACATTCATGGCAGCATGATTCACAACGGCCAAATGTGGAAGCAACCCCATCAACGGGTCCATCAACAGAAGACTGGATGAGCACAATGAGGTACATCCACACGACGGAATGTTATTCAGCCTTAAAAAGGAAGTCAGTTCCAACACCTGCTACAACACGAATAAACCTCGAGAGCATTATACTCCGTGAAATAAGCTAGACACGAAAGGACAGATACTGTAGGATTCCACTTGGATGAGGTCCCTGGAGGAGTCCCATTCACAGAGATAGGAAGTAGATGGTGGGCTCCAGGAGGGGGTGGGGAGTCAGTGTTTTGGGGGGACAGAGTCTCAGTTTGCAAGACATAATGCGTTCTGGAGATGGGTGGTAGGGAGGGCTGCACAACCATGACAATGTACTTAACACCACAGAACTGAACACTTAAAAATGGTGAGCATGGTAAACTTCGTGTTATGTATATTTTATCACAATTAAAATTTTTGTTTTTCATTATTTTTTATGTTTATTTACTTTTGACAGAGAGAGAGAGAGCGTGAGTGGGTGAGGGGCAGAGAGAGAAGGAGACAGAAGATCTGAAGCGGGGTCTGGGCTGACAGAGGAGAGCCCCACGCGGGGTCAAACTCATGAGCCATGAGAGATCATGACCTGAGCTGATGTCAGATACTTAACCGACTGAGTCACCCAGGCACCCCCACAGTTAAAAATTTTTAAAAGCAGGAGCCTGGGTGGCTCAGTTGGGTAAGCATCCGACCCATGATTTTGGCTCAGGTCGTGATCTTTTTTTTTTTTTTTTTTTAATGTTTTATTTATTTTTGAGACAGAGAGAGACAGAGCATGAACGGGGGAGGGGCAGAGAGAGAGGGAGACACAGAATCTGAAGCAGGCTCCAGGCTCTGAGCTGTCAGCACAGAGCCCGACGCGGGGCTCGAACTCACGAACCATGAGATCATGACGTGAGCCAAAGTCAGATGCTTAACCGACTGAGCCACCCAGGTGCCCCTCAGGTCATGATCTTGTAGTTTATGAGTTTGAGCCCCACATTGGGCTTCACGCTCACAGTGTGGAGCATGCTTGGGACTCTCTCTCTCTCTCTCTCTCTCTCTCTCTCTCTCTCCCTCTCTCTCTGCCCCTCCCCTGCTCTCTCGCTCTCTTAAAATAAATAAATAAACCTTAAAATTTTTTTTAAGCAATAAGGGTCCTACTGGAGCCCCCAAGAGAGTATTACCAAGTTTCTTGGTCCTCATGTGGAGAATTCGGAAGCAAATGGACTGACTCCGTGTCCAGTGCTGATTCTGTTTCTTGTTCACTGGGTGACCCTGGGCAGGTGACGTGCTGGTGGCATCTCCCGGAGAGCAGAGCTAACGGTAACAGCACCGAAATGACAGGAAGAGTCCCGCGCGCTGGAGGTGGAGTCTTTGTGATGCTTCACGTCTGGCTACCACCGTGGAGGGCCAGGCCCCCGGCGAAGGGGTCTTCATCAATGTTTGCTCTTTGCAGCCTTAGTAGACAGAGGCACTCAGAAGCTGCCCAGTTCATAAGTGAGGAAACCGAGGTTGTCCAGAGCGGAGGGAGGGGCAGGAATCAAGCCTGGGTCTCTCCAACTCAGTCTACGCTGACCTCCAGGGGCCTCTAGTAACATCTTCTAGGAAAAGGGAAACTGAGTCCAGGGCCCTCCACACATGTCTTTGAGTCAGAGATAATGGAGCTGCTTACTATTTTTTTCTCCAATGGGCCCCTCCTCTCCCCTCCCCGACATTGGATTTCTCAAGCGTGTTGGAAATACCTACAAAAGAATGTATGACATCAGATCATGACGCCCGTGGCACAGCCTTGTGACTTGACCCAAACCACTGAATCTCACGCTTTAAAATGGCAGATTTCACGCTATATGAATTACATCGCAATTTAAAATTTAAACACATTTTTAAAAAGAATATAAGGGGCACACGTGTGTAAAAAGGTCTTTGGGCTGCCTCAAGAGGTTCACCCAAGGTTTACATCAGCCGGTTTCCTCCACATCTAGTTTTTGGTTGCGTGGGGCTCTGCCGATAGGAGGCATCAGCGGGGGATGAGAGGCTGGGAGGAGAAAGGCCAGAGTATTTGTCTCCCCCCCCCAAGAGCTCCCTCCATGGGGGCCACTGCCTTATGGCAGATGGTGCCAGATGGCCCCAGCTCCAGTGTCTAAGAGCCACTCCCCCCTTTGCCCCTTTCAGCTAAAGATGGTGATAGGACCCCCCGGAGCCCGGCAGAATGGCACTGCACTCCATAGGGCTACCGGCCTTCTGTCTCTACTTTTGCAATTGTCCCTGTCTCCATGGAGCCCCAAATTACCCGCTTTGAGTGTACTATCTCTTTCCATCCGGGACTCTGACTGACATCATGCATGTGTGCAAAAGACCAGGGGAGCAAAACACATACACACGAGCCCACCATCAGACTCCACCATTAGAACATTATTGATATTCGCTGCCTGCCTTACCCCAAGAGTCTCCACCATCCTGAATTCTATGTCCAATATTCTCTTGTTAAAAAAAAAAAACAAAAACAAAAACTCCCGTAAATAAATTATTTTATTTATTTATTTATTTATTTTTAAGTTTTTCTTTAACGTTTATTTATTTTTGAGACAGAGCATGAACGGGGGAGGGTCAGAGAGAGGGAGACACAGGATCCGAAACAGGCTCCAGGCTCTGAGCCGTCAGCACAGAGCCCGACGCGGGGCTCGAACTCACAGACCGCGAGATCATGACCTGAGCCGAAGTCGGCCGCTTAACCGACTGAGCCACCCAGGCGCCCCAAATAAATTATTTTAAAAGACAAATTTATCTTCTTGCCAACAAGGAAAAGCCATCAAAGTCACCGTGCGTGAAGCCAAACTCGATAGTTATTTACAGGTGGGGCATACAGTATTCCGAACCCCAGATTCATAGACTCCTGGTGTGAGAACATACCAGACCTTCTTCTCAGATTCCCCAGTGGCTACGGAAGTGAGCATGTGACCCCGATTCCACTCAACAGATGTACAGGATTTAGAGTTGAGAACCCACCCCCCCCCCCCCAAAGAAGGAGGGATCAGGAAAGGGAGGTGGCAGAAGAGACAGGGGCATTGACGGAAGTGTCATGGAAAGCCAGAGTTTCAGGTTGGATTCAGGAGGAGGACTTAAGCTCCTGCCCTGCACCCCCACTTTGTCCCCGTCCATCTTCGAAGGCTGGTGATTTCATTAGCCCCCAGCATCCAACCGGGTAAATTCCTTTGCAGCTTAAATCACCCTGAGCCAGTTTCTGTTGCGTATAAAGAAGAATCGCCACCAATCCAGATGGCAACACAAAAGCAAAAGCAGAGTGTGTGTTTTGGGGCAGGGACTGTTACTACATTTTAGCTGGATGCTATTGCTTACAACAGAAATAGGCCGACGTTCAGAAGGTGTTGACGCACTAACCCTTGGTTCTCGATTTCTGCACCCACACCTGCCCCTCTGTCCTCTCTCCCCATCTTAGCAGAGGGAAGTCTGTTCTGATTGCTCACGCCAAAACTCTCGGAGTCATCATACCTCACAGCTAATCAGATCTTGCTCACTTGACCTGTAAAATATATTCAAATATATCCAACCAACCGTTTTGCAACACCTTCTGGGCCCCCACCCTAGTCCAACCACCATCATTTCTCACCTGGAGCATTGCACCAGCCCCCTCCCCGCTTCTGCACTCGCTCCCCCTACAATCCATTCTCCATGCAACAGCCCAGAGGATTTTTTTTTTTTAACGTTTATTTATTTTTGAGACAGAGAGAGACAGAGCATGAACGGGGGAGGGGCAGAGAGAGAGGGAGACACAGAATCGGAAACAGGCTCCAGGCTCTGAGCCATCAGCCCAGAGCCCGATGCGGGGCTCGAACTCACGGACCGCGAGATCACGAGATCCCGCGAGATCGCGAGATCGTGACCTGGCTGAAGTCGGACGCTTGCTCATGTTCTCTCTCTCCCCCTCTCTCACAAATAAATAAATATTTTAAAAAATTCTCCTGCCCTCCTTTCCTCAACTGCCCAATTCCTGACGCCTCCCACCTCGAGTTACCTATCCAGATTTTCTTTCTTTCTTTTTTTAATTTTTTAATGTTTATTTATTTTTGAGAGAGAGACAGACAGACAGAGCACGAATGGGGGAGGGTGGAGAGAGAGAAGGAGACACAGAATCCGAAGCAGGCTCCAGGTTCCCAGGTGTCAGCACAGAGCCAGACATGGGGCTCTGACTCATGGACTGTGAGATCATGACCTGAGCTGAAGTCGGACACCCAACCAACTGAGCCACCCAGGTGCCCCATTTAAAAAAAATTTTTTTTATGTTTATTTGTTTTTGAGAGAGAGACAGAACGCGATATCCAGATTTTCTTTCTGATTATACAAGAAAAAAACTGATAAGCAAACTGTGGTATATACACGCAAAGGAATGTTATTCCACCTTAAAAAGGAGGAAAATTCTGGCACCTGCTACACCATGGGTGAACCTTGAAGACATTAAGCGGAGGGATATAAGCCAGACACAAAAGGATAAACACATTGTACGATTCCACTGATGCAAATCCATAGACAAAAAAGTAAAACAGAGGTTAACAGAGGCTGGGGGAGGGGGAATGGGAAGTCAGTGTTTCGTGGAGACAGAGTTTCAGTTTGAGAAGGCGGAAC